TTAATAATATCAAATGGTAACAATTTGATCTGAAGGTTTTAGACATATATTCAATAGATTTCCTGTCTCTTGGCGGCTAAGTGTACTTGTAAATGAAAATCCTAACCAAAGAAAATATTTTCTCAATGCGATTCCAGTATTTATAGGCTGCTCAGATGCCATTTTTTTTTGCTATTGGCTTTTTTTCTTCTTTTAGTTATCTTTTAAAAATGTAGACTAAAACAAGGGAAATCATCTTAAGTAGAATCCATTCTTTCAATTAATAACTATTTTTCGGCACTTGCTACATGTTACATAGGCAGTGAAGGAGAAAATGCTCACGTGGTAGAAGCACAGATGTTATCTCTGCCATGCCATGGGTGATGTCCATGACACTCATTATCCACATGACATCCCTATCACATGCAGATATGCCCGACTTTATAGAGAACACAAAGCAAAAGCACACATCTCTTTGTTTAAAAGACATAAACTTCTCTGCTTACTCTAGACATACACTTTTTCTCACTTAGCTAATTAAAGGACTCGAAATTGCTTGGTTACTTACCCCAATATTAAACATCCCTGTGAAGTACTCCATATTTGCTTGAATGAACCAAATGTTGTTTAAGCCTAGTTCATCACTCCTCTTCTTAGCACGAATTAATGACAATTCCTTGTTTTCTATCAATGTAACCTAGATTTCCCCAAGGAAACAACAGTATATTCAGTAACATCACTCAGACATTAGGGCAAACTGTTGCTATATTTCCTAGCTTTAGTAACACAGAACATATTATATTGATCCTTCCTGTTCCAGGAACACTGCTGGACTATGTGGCACAAAAATGAACAAGGTCCTGAATTCTTGAAACTCACAGCACAATCAGGTGTTAAGATGCTTCCATTCATGAAAAAAGCTGCTTAACTGCTGGTACTCTCGGCAAGCCATGCCCCAAGCCTCGGCACGCTAGTGGGCAACGCCAGGTCTCTGGAACTACGCACTGTGACGGTTGGGCAGTCACCTAATGATGGCTTTCTCAGCAGGGGCCTGTTGTCAGTGATACATGACTGTCTAGTGATGTCAAGGAAATAGGCAACTATAATACCAGAAGTTAGACTGGCTAACGCAAGAACGTGTCTATGGAAAAGCAACGTGCTAATGAATGCCTAAAACATGAACAGAAATTAGCTGGGGAAATAAGGAAGCATTTCAAGCAGAGAAACACCTTTGAAGGCCCAACATGTGTCTGAAGAAGAGGTAATTAGTAGATCTGGGACACACTGTGTGTGAGGTTGCTGGAGGGATGGGGGACAGGGTGCAGAGGGTGAACATGAGGCCAGAGAGGTTAACAGGGAACAGATCATGTGTGGTGACAAAAGGTATGTATGCAATTTATTGCAGGGGCTGGTGTGGGCAAGAAAGAGGCAGGAGAGCCAACTAGGAAACCAACTGCAATCCAGGCCAAGGTCATCGCTCTCC